CCTTCCCTCTCTCCTTTCCTTCCTTCCTTCCTTCCTTCCTTCTTTCTCTCTCTCTTTCTTTCTCTCTTTCCTTCCTTCTTCCTTCCTCCCTCCTTTCTTTCTTTCTTTCCTTCCTTCCTTCCTTCTTTCTTTCTTTCTCTCTCTCTTTCTTTCTCTCTTTCCTTCTTCCTTCCTCCCTCCCTCCCTCCTTCCTTCCTTCCTTTCTTTCTTTCTTTCTTTCTTTCTTTCTTTCCTTCCTTCCTTCCTTCCTTCCTTCTTTCTTCCTTCCTTCCTTCCTTCCTTCCTTCTTTCTCTCTCTTTCTTTCTCTCTTTCCTTCCTTCTTCCTTCCTCCCTCCTTTCTTTCTTTCTTTCCTTCCTTCCTTCCTTCCTTCCTTCCTTCCTTCTTTCTTTCTCTCTCTCTTTCTTTCTCTTTTTCCTTCTTCCTTCCTCCCTCCCTCCCTCCTTCCTTTCTTTCTTTCTTTCTTTCTTTCTTTCCTTCTTCCTTCCTTCCTTCCTCCTTCCTTCCTTCCTTCCTTCCTTCCTTCCTTCCTTCCTCCCTCCCTTCCTCCCTCCCTCCTTCCCTCCCTCTTTCTTTCTTTCTTTCTTTCTTTCTTTCTTTCTTTCTTTCTTTCTTTCTCTCTCTCTTTATTGTTTGTTTTCTGAGGCAGTCAGTATCCCAGGGCTATTCCAGGCTGTGATCAGAATTGCTCCTCAGGTGCTTTGGGAGCTATTGCAGTGGCCTAGATCAAACCCAGGGCCTCTGGCAAGCCACGCAAGTAAAATGGTATTCTTTTAGAAAAGACCAGTCCTAGGCATAGGGAGAGGGAAAGGAAAAACTACAACAAAACCTTCAAAGCTAGGATGCAGCCAACTAGTGACAATTGCCTCTTAGTAGGCCTGAGAAAACTGGTGTGCAGCTTGGCAGTGGGCAAAAGGAGCTCCAACCTGTTCGGTTGCTGCATCTGCAAAAGGCCTGGAATTGTGGCAAGCCTGCTGTTACCCCATTCTCTACCAGCCTGTGCATCGGAAAGAATCTCCCTTCTTAGTTTCTTCTCCTGCCATGGCCAGATGTCCGTATCACCGTGAACATTCAGTTCCCTCCTGCCTGCAGGGCAAGAAAGGTGCCCTCAGTACCAGCCACTGCATGACTAGTGCAACCATCTAAAGCAGCCCTGAATTGAAAGAAGGGTGTGGTGAGGAGGAAACTGTGACAGACATAAGAATGGCCTCTATGTGCAGAGCTGGGCACTGGAGCCAAACGTAGTCAGAGAGCAGGTAAGAGGGGCCGGAGAGAGGCTGGCGTGAGAGCATAGTGTGTAAGGCATTTGCCTTACACCCCGATTCAGTCCCCACATCGCATATGTTTACCTGAGCACAGAGCCAGGATACTCCCTGAGCACTGCCAGGTGTGGCCCCAAAACCACCAAAAAAAAAATCTGAAAAACAGGAGGGGGACTGGAGAGATAGCACAGAGAGAAGGGTGTTGGCCTTGCATCCCAGCTGAAGTGGGTTTGATTCCCAGTACCCCATAGAGCCCCCCAAGCCCCACCAAGAGTAATCCATGACTACAGAGCCAAGAGTAAGCCATGAGCACTGTCAGGTAGAGACCCCCCAAACTAAAACAGAAAGCAGACAAGCCGTTGGATTTCCTTACGAATGCCTCTCTCCACGCCATGTCAGTCTGCCCCACTGCTAGGCCTTTGCTCTCCCTAAGTCCCTGGCCTGGAACTGAGACCTGTACCTGTTTTATTTCCTAGGCCCTTGTCTGCAGGTTTCCTGCCTCCCTGGGTAAAGTCTTGCATTTGCGGGTTGCGGCACTTTGGGACTGCTAACTCCCACTGGATTGCTGTCCTCGTTAATATGCGAGTGGGTTTTTTTTAATTTTATAAAATAGTTCACAGTATTTGATGACATTTAATATTCAAACACCAATCCCCCACCACTATACCTTCCCACCACCGTATTTCGGATGTTTTCATCCCGAACTCCAATCCCTGCTCCAAAACAGAACCGAAATAATATATTTTATATCGTTTGCTATGAAAAACTATATGCAAGTGTTTGGAGTAACTGCAACTCCTTGGAGAACGGTCTGCCAATGCACTAAGATCCTGGATGGTCCTGGCCTAAAACTGGCCACAGAAAGAATTCATGGAAAGGATGAAAAAAAACGTCAAGACAGTGAAAAAACTAAAAAGCAGCAAGTATTCTACTCCCCTCCCTCACTTTGGCAGAGCACCCGAGGCTGGTGTGGGGCCCTGTAGTGGTGCCACATTGGCCTAGAGACATGGCACAGTGCTGGAGGCTCAGCCTGCCTCTAGAGACCCCTGGACCACAGCCCCAGTCGGCCTCTCCCTACTCCCCCAGGACCCGGGTATCAGGCCTCCGGGCAAAGGAGGGTTTTCCAAGGAGGCCCCATGACTCCTCCAGTGGGGCACCCCGCTGGAGCACGCAGGGCAGCAGTCAGCGGGTGCCACCCCAGAACACAGCTTCCCTCTGACATGTCCGCAGACGTGCAAAGATGTTGGGATTCCGAGGGAGGGTCTGAGCCTGAGGGACGGGCACCAACACTCACACTGCAAGTGCAACATGGGCCGGACGAATGCACATGGGCTGTCAGGTTGTCATGTACACGGCTGACCACGGTCAATTCCCAACACCACGAACGGTCTCCTAAGACTGCCAGGAGACAGCTCTGAGCACAGAGACAGGAGAAATCAATGAGCACTGCTGGGTGAGCCATAAATCACGAATCACAAATCACAACCATCATCGATTGCCTCGAGCAGGCCCCAGTAACGTCTCCTTCATTCTAGCCCTGAGACTATATTCAAGGCTCTTTAGGAGAATGAGACCCATCATTGTTACTGGTATTTGGCATATTGGGTACGCCACGGGGAGTTTGCCAGACTCTGCCGTGTGGGTAGGCTACATTCGGTAGCCTGCCAGTCATAAAAACTCAACATTTTTTTTCTTTTTTGCTTTGTGGGTCACACCTGGCGATGCACAGAGGTTACTCCTGGCTCATGCACTCAGGAATTACTCCTGGCAGTGCAAGGGGGACCGTATGGGATGCTGGGAATCGAACCTGGGTTGGTCGCATTCAAGGCCCTACCCACTGTGCTATTGCTCCAGCCCCATTTTTTGTTATCTTTTTGGGCCACGACCACAAGTACTCAGGGCTTCCTCCTGGTCTGCAGTCAGGGATCAGTCCTGGCAGGGCTCAGGGGAACATAGAGAGAGCTGGGAATCGAAGCTTGCTTAGCTGCATGCAATGCAAGTGCCTGAACCACTGTAAAACCTCCCTGGCCCCACCCCCAGCATTTTTAAAAAAATTACGATTGGAGTTTGGAGGTTCATGAATGTGGCTCAGTGTTAGGGCTCTTGCCCTGTATCTGAGGCCCCAGCTTTGATCTCTCTCACTTCAAACAGAATAAAAAACACCCTTGAGTGTCATTGGGAGCCAGAAGAGCATCTTCCAATGCTGCGGAGAATCAGAATTTGTGAAAGGAGAGTCAGGAACATGGAGTCAGCTCATGCCTGGATGCGCAAGTCCTGAAGTCTGGTCCCTCAAACACCAGCAGACGTGTTCTCATGGCCCCCCCAGACCCACCTCAGTGGCCTTGGTGGCCCCAACGCTGAGCGGTTGTGGCTGGTCCACAGAGCTGAGTATTCCTGGGAGTGACCCCTGACACCCCAACCTCAGCACCTGTGGGGTGGCCCTTATTTAAAGGCTGTTTCCAAGAGCCCTGGGGCTGGCCTTAGTCCAGCAGCTGCCTTGCATGCTTGAGGTGGGTGCAGCCTCAGGGCATCAAACCCTACTCAGCCTTTTGCAAGGAAAGCACCATACCCACCATACTATGGCTGCGGTCCACAGTGTAGTACAATTTAAATGGTTTCTATGTTACTTTATGTATACGTGGAGGCTCCCTGGGTATGGATTCACCTGTCCTGGAAATACTGTGTGGTCTGATAGTGGACACTCAGCCTGTCCATGCTGAGGGTCACCAGGGCCTCACCTGGTAATGATCAGGGTCGTGCAGAACAAAGTTTAAGTTCTATTTTGTGAGTTTTGTTTGTTTGTGGACCACACCCATGAAGCTCAGCAGTTATTCCTGGTTCTGCACTCTTGAACTACTGCCTGGTGGAGCTCAGGGGACTGTAGGTTGTGCCGGTATGTGACCGGGGTCAGCCACAGCAGGCAAGAGCAGAACTTTCTGTACTGTCTCATTGGATGCACTGTCTGTAAAGGTTGGTGTCTGAGACAAACCCAAAAGGTCACCGGACAGGTCACGGATGGGCTCCAGGGCGCAGGGGCTATAAATCAAGAGGAAGCATAAGAGAGAAAAGTCATGAGGGGAAGGGAGGAGATAGTATAGTGGGCAGGCACTGCCTTGCACATGTCCAACCAGGCTTCGATTTCTGGCAGCCCCCAGAGTGATCCCTGAGTGCAGAGCTGTTACTTATCCCTAAGCATAGCCAGCTGGGGCCAAAAATGAGAGAGAGAGAGAGAGAGAGAGAGCAAGGGAGGAGGAGAAAGAGGAGGAGAAAGAGGACGAGAAGGAGGAGAAAGAGGAGGAGGAGGAGGAGGAGGAGGAGGAGGAGGAGGAGGAGGAGGAGGAGGAGGAGCTGGGCAGTGGAGAGCACTTGCCTGGCACGTGTGAGACTCTGGGTTTGATCTCTGGACATATCAGAAAATAAATAAATAAAGACAGAAGGGTTGTGTCAATGAATGTTCTAAACTGCTAGCACAGAAACTGAGTCAGCAGCATATCACGTATTTCTGGATATTTAAGGAGAACTGAAAGACTAGATTTGAAACTAGACAGGAGACCCCGAGGGAAACCAAAGGATGGGCCCAGGAGAAGCACGCGCACCCCTCCTGCAGTCTCATCAAAGGGCCGCACCCCGGCCCCATCAGCTAAAGTTTGCCACGCAGGTCTCTTCACTTCCCCACTCCCCACGCAACCAAGACCAAGAGGAGACAAGACGCGAGAACCAAAATTGCAGGCACACAGGCTAATTTTCTGCTGCTTTATTTGGTAGCAGTACATAAGTTCCTTCCCACAGGCCACGTGTCCCCAAGCTCAAACCAGACCCATGTGGGGCCCTCAGGGAGATGGGTCCGAACAAAAGGTCTCTGGCATGGGAAGAGCTGAAGAACCAGGGATAGCTCAGCTCTCTACAGGGGCAGATTTCTGGGCTGAAGAGAGGGGTTCTATGCCAAAGGAGTGTGGCTAGGTCGGGGGCGTGGCTATGCACGGAGAGGCTCGAAAGGGGCGTGGCCCTGCGGCGAGGGGCGGGGTTTCTCTTAATGGGCGGGGCTCTACTTCTAAGGGGCGGGGCTCGGTGCCTGCTCCAGGAGGGTTTGGTTCTTGTCCTGATTCTGCAGGGCAAGGCGCTTGTCGTGAGTCTCCTTCTGGATTCGGTTGAAGAAGGACCTGACCTTGTCCTTCAGGTCCATCTCCAGGAAGATCAAATAGTCTTCCCCATCCCCCGGGTTGGGGCCCAGCTTCTGGCCGAACTGCTTCACCAGCTGCACCATCCCGTTTCCGAAAGGCTCTTCAAAGAGGGCCAGAGAGCGCTGGAATTCCTCCAGCTGCTGGTCCAGTCTTTTGCACAGCTCGGCCAGTGCCTTCGGTGGGTCCTCCGTGTTGCCACTCAGCGTTTCCCGCGTGTCCTCTATTAGGGCCTTCAGCCGTGGCCAGAGCTCCTGGTACCCGGCAGAGACGTTGGCCTGCAGCTGGTCGGCGCGCTTCCTCATCTGGAAGGAGAGGCCCTCCAGCTGGTGGTCGAGCTTGTCCTGCACGTCCTGCGCGAAAGGGGCCAGGCTGCGGCCCAGCTCCACCACGCTGCGGTTGAGTCTCTCCTTGAGTTCCATTACATATGCCGTTTGCCTCACTTCTAATTCAGCCATGTCGTTATTGATCTGTAACTGGATTCGGTCGAGGGCTGAAGTCAGCGAGGCCTGCAGGTTGTCTGCATGGTCACCGAACGCTAACTCTACGGGTTTTATGATGGCCGCACTATGGTCACTCATCATCCACCTCTGCCGATCGACATCCTGGTGTATCATTTCAGGGTACTCAAACACATACCCCTGCAGCGCGCGCACACTGTCCGTGATGCTCTGGCTCACATTTTGGGCGTGGGGCAGCATCCTGGCCCGCAGCTCTTCCAGCTCCTTCTGGTTCTCCTCTTTCAGCTTGTCCGAGTCCTTGGTGAGAGCTAGGTGCAGGCTGATGGCAAAGGGCACCAGCTCCTCCACGTCGTAGTTGTAGGGCTTGTTTATGATTCTTGCAAACCATTGGTTGCGGAAGAAGGTTCTGTGGGGGAGGGGTAAGGGAGACCCAAGCAGCACTGAGATTAGAGAGGAGGTAGGATGGCGGTGGGGTGCAGCCTCACAGGCTGTGCTCAGGGCTTACTCCTGGTTTTGTGCTCAGGGTTCTCTCCTGGCAGAGTTCAAGTATCATAGGTGATGCTGGGGATTCAACTTCGGATTCCGTGGAAACCCTTGAACTATCTCTCTGGCTGTAGCATTTCTTATGGAGGTGTCTGGGGGACTCTGAAGCAGTGCTGGGGTCTGGGCCACACTGCTGGTTCCCCCAGTGTGGGCTGCTTGCATCCAGCTACGGGACAGGGTCAGATGGGGGCCTTGAGCAGGCAATGCATGCGCCCCAACCCCTGAGTTGTGGCCCTTACCAGACACTTGGCTCTCACACCAAATGCCTAGGTTGGGGGTTGTCCTGTGGTCACCCATATTTCAGCTGAGGACTCCGAGTGGGGGACCCAGAGCTGAGAGAATGGATGGAGTAGACCAAGCAAGCACCTTGGGATAGTCTCTCTGCCACCCCTTCCCCCATTCAAGTAACAGTGACTTTCTGTAAGGTGACCTTGAGAAGGGTACTTTTGTCTCTGATCTGGGAAGGGACCAGAGTCAGCCTGAGATAAGTCTCCGTGTAGGTGCGCTGTGACAGGAGCACTAGTCACCAACACAGAGGCCCATGTCTTCCTCCCTGACCTGCCTTTTGTGGGACCTCTCCCGTGTCCCCTGGTCTGAGCCTTCCCCAGTGCTGAATTGTCTTTCCCCATATATCACAACAGCCCGACCCTTCAGGAAGTGGCAGAGTCCAGCCCTTCACAATCCATAGCTCAAGACTGCCATGTGGCTCTTCGTCCTACCCAGGAACGCTAACGCTGGTCAAACTATGTCCCTCTTTGCCAAGGTGGGTCCAGTTTGGCGTGAGGGCTTGATCCGAGTCCCGGAGTGAGTGGGTGACAGGACAGTGGGGATATTAGCTGAGCTGTGCTGATGCCTTTCCTGCCCCTGCCCTCCCCCCTCCAGGAAGTGCTTCCCCTTACTTTATCTGCTGAGTCAGTTCGGATTTCTGCTCCTCTTCCTCTTTGGCATTGGTGTTCTGCTGGCTGAAGTAGTCCCACACCACAGTGGCCACCTGGTCACCGTTGATCTCAGGCCATTCACCTACCAGAGCACAGTGGTTGAGACCCTTGGGGAAGGGACAGGTCTCCCCAAGCCCCACCTGCCCTCCCTGGGAGCTGTGACAGCGCTTCCCACCCTGATTGCGGGCCTGGAACTCTCCTTGAGCAGAGAGAGCCAGCAGCAGGCCCGACTGGCCAAGAAACGCTCCCCAAGCCCTGCCACAGTGACTCCACCTGGAGGTGCTCCCGAATAACCCGAGACAGCCACCAGGACCAGGCTCAGGATCACAGCCTTCAGGGTCATCCTGGGGACAAGTCTTCTGCTGTTCTAGAAGCTTCCTGGGTCCAAGAAAGCGAGACAAGCACACCTGGGCAGCTGCTGGAACTGACAGAGCCGGGGCCAGTGGACATTTAAACCTCTGCCCAGGCTCTCCCCGCCTCCATCTAGGTCACTCCCTTAGGTGACCCTGAGCCTATTCCCTACCAGAATGGCACATTCAGTCCCTCCCCAGACCTGCCCGGCACTGGCTTCCTCTCTTTGTCTCTTCCCTCTGAGCCTCCCACTGTCCCTGCCTTCCAGGTGCCAATGTCACTGGGCCAGTCCTGGCATGAGGCAAAGGACAGCCCTTTACCCTTTCGGTGACTCCACATGCCTATTTGTCCTGTTCTGGGAAGTTAAAGCAAATGTTGGTGACACATTTCCTGGAAATCTTTTGGAGTTTTGCACCAGAAACAACGTGGCAGCTGAAAGGCACTGGACGATGGGGGTGAGGGGCACAAGGTGGGCAGTGAGGTGGCTTCAGAGCTGTGTCTCCTGGGGGCGGATCTCACAGTCATGGGAGAAGCCAGGCCAGAGACGCCCTTGACCTCCCAACTGTCCCCATGTGGGTGGCAGGGACAAAACCCATTTCTCCCTGAAAAAAGAAAGATGTCTGGGGCCGGGAGAGTGTCCAGCTTATTGGAGGCTGGACATGCACAGGCTGATCTAGGGTAATCTGCATCACCCCAGCACAGAGCTGTTTTTGTTGGCCCTCAGGGCTGAGTATCCCTGGGAGTGGACCCTGACAGCCCAACACAGCACCCATGGGTCAGCTCCTAGTAAAAAGTCTTTTCCCAGGGCCGGGGCGAAAGAGCAATGGAGAAGGCATTTGTCTTGCTTGCAGCCAACCTGGGTTCGATCCCTGGCATCCCATAGGGTCCCCTGAGCACCACCAGAAATCATTCCTGAGTACAGAACCAGGAGTAACCCCTGAGCATTGCTGGGTGTGACCCAAAAAGCCAAAACAAAAAAAAATTTTTTAAAGTGTATTCCCAGGGGGCCCTGGCTCCTATGGTCCAGCATCTGCCTTGCTAGCTTGAGTGGGTGAGGCCTCAAGGGTTCAAACCTGGTTACTGTGTGCACAGCAGAACCCTCCCCAATGTACCATCAGTCTCTCCACTGTGTGGAAAATTTCCGTGGTTTCTATTTTATTTTATTATTTTTCTTTTTGAGACACACCCAGCGACACTCAGGAGTTACTCCTGGCTCATGCACTCAGGAATTACTCCTGGCAGTGCTTGGGGAACCATATGGGATGCTGGGAATCGAACCCGGGTCAGGCCACGTGCAAGGCAAATGCCCTACCCACTGTGCTAACGCTCCAGCCCCCATGTGGTTTCTATTTTATAGAACTGTATTTGTGGGGGATTCCTGGGTATGATTGGAGGCCTGGGGTTCCCAATCTGAGACTTTTTGGTGGCATGATGGTTCATACTCAGGCGTGGCCATACTGGGAACAGGAAGGCCACACCTGGGTGACCTCAGGAGAGAATGTGGAGAATGGAGTTCAATTTCTCTTTTTATTCGTTCATTTGTGTTCGGAACACAAGCAGCGGGGCTCAGTGGCTACTCCTGGTTCTGCTCTCAAGAGTTCTGGTGGGCTCAGGGGACCATCTATGGTCCCGGAACACAAACCCAAGGAGATGGCAAGACCCTGTAAAACCGTACTACCTCTGCAGCCACGAGAAGTCAAATTCTAATCCTTTGAACTTTCAACCCAGCCCGAAGGAGCGAGCTGACTCTATCGCCATCCCTTGTACAAGGCTCTTCGCAGTTCTTTCTCCTGACCTTCCCTGCGGGAGGTGGGACTGTGCAGAGGCCTTTAGCTTCCCGTTTTCCTCCCTCAGACTCTCTCCCTTCCTTGCTGCTCATATTTACCCTGAGTGCTGGCCCAGCGCCATGTCCATGCAGGCGCACTGGCACCATCCTCATGTCCTAGCACCTTCCTGTCCTGTTTGCCTTCCTGCTTGAGCAGATCCGACTGCCCAATCCGGCTCGGTCCCCGGGAGAAATCCTGGCTGGTCTGTGCCATGTTTCATGCCCAATGTACAAACGCACCAACCATCAGCGCACAAAGAGCTGAGTGCTGATGGTGCGGCAGTGGAGGGGCAGCCAGAGGGTCACCTGACGCAAAGCCCAGGACTTGACCCTGTGGCTTTGAGTGCCCACACATCTTCCCAGACAGAGATTCCCCCTATCCAAGTCTCCCTGGACCCAGAAGGAACGGAAGTCCTGAGGCCACCTAGTTCAGTGTCAGGGGAACTTTCCAGGCGCTGACTTTCAGGGTCCTGTCATGCTCCCAGGAGAAGGGAGGCAGGGGAGATGCTGCAGCTTAGACAAGAGGAAGAATGCCTTCTTTGTGCTCTGTGTGTGTGTGTGTGTGTGTGTGTGTGTTGAGCATTGGGAGGCAGGGGAGATCACATTTAACAATTAAGGGGCTATCTCTAGACTGTGTTCAGGAGAGACACCTGGTAGTGCTCAGGGTACCATAGGTTGTGCCGGGATGGAATGGGGTCAGCCACAGGCAAGTATAGAACTTTCTGCTTACTCTCTCTGGATGTGCCTTCTTTGAAGAATGGTATCTGATATAGACCAAAGAATTACCAGGACAGGTCAAGGATGGGCTTCCGCGCTCATGGGCTATAATACAAGAGGATGTATAAGAGAGAAAAGACATGGTAGGGGGTTGGTAGGGAGATAGTACAGGGGCTGGCACTGACCTTGAATATGTCCAATCTTCATCCCTAGGACTATCCGTGAGGGAAGATCCATTAGTTATCCCTGAGCATACTTGAAGTGTGGCCAAAAATCAGAGAGGAAGAAGATGAAGAAGAAGAGGAGGGGGAGGTGAAGGGAGAGGTGGAGGAGGAGGAGGAGAAGGAGGAGGAGGAGGAGAAGGAGGAGAAGGAGGAGGAGGAGGAGGAGGAGAACGATGAGGAAAGGAGGAGGAGGAGGAGGAAGAGGAGGAGGAGGAGGAAGAGGAGAAGGAGGTGGAGGAGACTGCAGCAGCTGTTCAGTGGAGAGCACTTGCCCGGCACATGTGAGAACCTAGCTTTGCTCTCTAGACATTAATGAAAATAAGTAAATACACAGAGCGAGATGTGTCATAGAAACCTATCCTGGAGATAGCCGCCTATCATGTATTTCTGGACAGCAAAAGGAGAACTAAAATACTAGATAGGAAGCTAGACAGGAGACCCTGAGGGAGAGCAAAGGATGGGCCCAGGAGAACCGCACGCGCCCCTCCGCAGGCTCATTTCCAGGCCGCACCCCGCCCCATCTGCTAAAGTTTGCCATGCAAGTCTGTTCCCGGCATCCCATTATGCCAAGACCACTCACTACAAGACAAGAGAACAATATTGCAGGCACACAGGCTAACTTTCTGTTGCTTTATTTAGTAGCAAAAGGTAAATTCCTTCCCACAGGCCACGTGTCCCCAAGCTCAAACCAGACCCACGTGGGGACCCCAGGGAGATGCGTCAGAGCAGGCAGGAGTCGCTGGCATGGGAGGAGCTGGAACACCAGGGACAGCTCAGTTCTCTACAGGGGCACATTTCTGGGCCAAAGGGATGGGTTCTAAGGCAAAGAGGCAGGACTAAAACTAAGGGGCGTGACAATACACTGAATGGGGCGTGGTTATGCTCGAAGGGGCGGGGCTCAGCGGCGAGGGGCGGGGTTTCTCTTAATGGGCGGGGCTCTACTTCTAAGGGGCGGGGCTCCCTGCCTGCTCCAGGAGGGCTAGGTTCTTGTCCTGATTCTGCAGGGCAAGGCGCTTATCGTGAGTCTCCTTCTGGATCCTGTTGAAGAAGGACCTGACCTTGTCCTTCAGGTCCATCTCCAGGAAGATCAGATAGTCTTCCCCGTCCCCCGGGTTGGGGCCCAGCTTCTGGCCGAACTGCTTCACCAGCTGCACCATCCCGTTTCCGAAAGGCTCTACATACAGGGCCAGAGTATGCTGGAATTCCTCCAGCTGCTGGTCCAGTCGTTCATGCAGCTCGTCTAGTGCCTTCGGTGAGTCCTCCATGTCACCGCTCAGCGTTTCCCGCGTGTCCTCTATTAGGACCTTCAGCCGTGGCCAGAGCTCCTGGTACCCGGCAGAGATGTTGGCCTGCAGCTGGTCGGCGCGCTTCCTCATCTGGAAGGAGAGGCCCTCCAGCTGGTGGTCGAGCTTGTCCTGCACGTCCTGCGCGAAAGGGGCCAGGCTAAGGCGCAGTTCATCCACGCTGCGGTTGAGTTTCTCCCTGAGTTCCATTATGTACGTGATTTGCATCACTTCTAATATACCCGTGTCCTTCCGGTTCTGTTTCTGGATCTTGTCTATGACAGAAGTCACCAAGGACTGCAGGTTGTCCAAATACTTAAGGAACAATCTCTCTTTAGGATTTGTGGAGGCCACAGTTTGGACACGCATCAACCACCTCTGCCGTTGGACAATATCCTTTATCATAATAGGATAGACAAACAGGTACCCCTGCAGCGCGCGCACACTATCCGTGATGCTCTGGCTCACATTTTGGGCGTGGGGCAGCATCCTGGCCCGCAGCTCTTCCAGCTCCTTCCGGTTCTCCTCCTTCAGCTTGTCCGAGTCCTTGGTAAGGCGATGGTATAGGCTGACAGCAAAGGTCACCAGCTCCTTCACGTCGCAGGTGTAGGGCTTGTTTATGATTCTTGCAAACCTTTGGTTGCAGAAGAGGGTTCTGTGGGGGAGGGGTAAGGGAGACCCAAGCAGCACTGAGATTAGAGAGGAGGTAGGATGGCGGTGGGGTGCAGCCTCACAGGCTGTGCTCAGGGCTTACTCCTGGTTTTGTGCTCAGACTTGTCTCCTGGTAGAGTTCAAAGTATCATAGGTGATGCTGGGGATTCAACTTTGGATTTCTGAGCAAACCCCTGAACTATCTCTCTGGCCATAGCATCTCTTATGGAGGCGTCTGGAGGGCTCTGAAGCAGAGCTGGGGTCTGGGACACACTCCTGGTTCCCCCACTGTGGGCTGCTTGCATCCAGCTATGGGAAAGGGTCAGATGGGGGCCTTGAGCAGGCAACGCATGCACCCCAAACCCTGAGTTATGGCGCTCACCACGCACTTGGCTCTCACATCCACAGCCCTGTAGTCACCCACATTTCAGCTGAGGACTCCCAGTGGAGGAGCCAGAGCTGAGAGAATGGATGGAGTAGACCAAGTGAGCACCCTGGGATACTCTCTCTGCCACCCCTTCCCCCCATTCAAGTCACAGTGACTCTCTGTGAGGTGACCTTGAGAAAGGTACTTTTATCTCTGATCTGGGAAGAGAATGGAGTATCCTGAGATGCATCTCTGTGTAGGTGCGCTGTGACAGGAGCACTAGTCAACAACAGAGCCCCATGTCTTCCTCCCTGACCTGCCTTTTGTGGGATCCTCTCCCGTGTCCCCGATCTGAGCCTTCCCCAGTGCCGAATTGTCTTTCCCCATATATCACAGCCCTGGCCCTTCAGGAAGTGGCAGAGTCCAGTCCTTCACAATCCATAGCTCAAGACTGCCATGTGGCTCTTCGTCTACCCAGGAACGCTAACGCTAGTCAAACTATGTTTCTCTTTACAAAGGTGGGTCCAGATTGGGGTGAGGGTTGGATCCGAGTGCAGGAGTGAGTAGGTGACAGGACAGTGGGGATATTAGCTGAGCTGTGCTGATGCCTTTCCTGCCCCTGCCCTCCCCCCTCCAGGAAGTGCTTCCCCTTACTTTATCTGCTGAGTCAGTTCGGATTTCTGTTCCTCTTCCTCTTTGGCATTGGTGTTCTGCTGGCTGAAGTAATTCCACACCACGGTGGCCACCTGATCACCAGTGACATCAGGCAATTCATCTGCCAGAGCACAGTTGTTGAGAACCTTGGAGAAGGAACAGGGCTCCCCCCCCCCAAGCCCACCTGCCCTCCCTGGGAGCAGAGACAGCGCTGCCCACCCTGATTGCGGGCCTGGAACTCTCCTTGATCAGAGAGAGCCAGCAGCCGGGCCCGACGGCCAGGAAACGCTCCCCAAGCCCTGCCACAGTGACTCCACCTGGAGGTACTTCCGAATCACCCGAGACAGCCACCAGGACCAGGCTCAGGATCACAGCCTTCAGGATCATCCTGGGGACAAGTCTCCCGCTGCTCTAGAAGCTTCCTGGGTCCGAGAAAGCGAGACAAGCACACCTGGGCAGCTGCTGGAACTGACAGAGCCGAGGCCAGTGGACGTTTAAACCTCTTCCCGTGCTCTCTCCGCCTCCATCTAGGTCACCTTAGGTCACCCTGAGCCTATTCCCTACCAGAACGGCATATTCAGTCCCTCCCCGGACCTGCCGGGCACTGGCTGCCTCTCCGTGTCTCTCCCCTCTGAGCCTCCCACTGTCTCCTCTTTCCAGGTGCCAATATCACTGGGCCAGTCCTGGCATGAGGCAGAGGACAGCCCTTTACCCTTCCGGTGACTCCACATGGCAGATTGTCTGTCGTGTTCAGGGAAGTTAAAGCACACTTTGGTGACACATTTCCCGGAAGTCTCTTGGAGTTTTGTACCAGAATCAACGTGGCAACTGAAATCTGCTGGAGGAAGGGGGTGAGGGACATGGAGCGGGCAGTGAGGTAGCTTCAGAGCTGTGTGTCCTAGGTGCGGATCTCACAGTCATGGGAGAAGCCAGGCCAGGGACGTCCCTGACCTCCCAACTGTCCCCACTGGGTTTCTGCCAGGTGGGTGGCAGAGACAAAGTCCATTTCTCTTTGACAAGGGCAAGATGTCTGGGGCTGGGAGAGTGTCCAGCTTATTGGAGGCTGGACATGCACATGCCGATCCAGGGTAATCCACAGCACCCCAGCATGGAGCTGTTTTTGCTGGCCCACAGGGCTGAGTATCCCTGGGACTGGCCCCTGACAGCCCAACCCAGTACCTGTGGCCCTATTAAAAAGTCTTTTCCTGGGGCTGGAGTGAAAGCACAGCGGGTTGGGCATTTGCCTTGCACGCTGCCGACCCGGGTTCGATTCCCAGCATCCCATAAGGTCCTCTGAGCATGGCCAGGAGTAATTCCTGAGTGTATGAGCCAGGTGTAACTTCTGACCATTGCTGGGTGTGAAACAAAGAGCAAAAAAAAAAAAAAAAGTCTTTTCCCAGGGCCAGAGCAAAAGTGCATTGGAGAAGGCATTTGCCTTGCATGCAGCCAACCTGGGTTCAATTCCTGGCATCATATAGGGTCCCCTGAGCACCACCAGGAATCATTTCTGAATACAGAGCCAGGAGTAACCCCTGAAAATTGCTGGGTGTGACCCAAACAGCCAAAAAAAATTTTTTTAAAAATGTATCCCAGTGCTGGAGTTTTAGCATAGATGGTAGGGTGTTTGCCTTGCACAGGGTCCAACCAGGATTCGATTCCCAAATTCCCATATGGTCCCCCAAGCACGGCCAGGAGTAATTTTTGAGTACATGAACCAGAAATAACCCCTGTGCATTGCTGGGTGTCACCAAAAAAGCAAAAAAAAAAAAGTGTATTCCTTGGGGGCCCTAGCTCCTATGGTCCAGCATCTGCCTTGCTAGCTTGAGTTGGTGAGGCCTCAGAGGATCAAACCTGGTTACTTGTGTGCATAGCTGTACCCTCCCCACTGAACCATCAGGCTCTCCACTGTGTGGAACAATTTCTGTGATTTCTATTTTATAGGACTGTATTTTTGGGGGATCTCTGGGTATGTTTGGAGGTCTGAGGTTCACAAACTGAGACTTTTTGGTGGCCTGATGGTTCATACTCAGGCCTGGCCATACTGGGAACAGGAAGGCCACACTTGGGTGATCTCAGGGGATGTAGAGAATGGAGTTCAACTTCTTTTGCTATTCATTCATTTGTGTTTGGAATGCAAGCAGCGGGGCTCAGTGGCTAATCCTGGTTCTGCTCTCAGGAGTTCTGGTGGGCTCAGGGGACCATATATAGTCCCGGAAAACAAACCCGAGGAGATGGCAAGACCCTGTAAAACTGTACTACCTCTGCAGCCACCAGAAGTCAAATTCTAATCCTTTGAACTTTCAACCCAGCCCGAAGGAGCGAGCTGACTCTATTGCCATCTCTTCTACAAGGCTCTTCGCAGTTCTTTCTCCTGACCTTCCCTGCGGGAGGTGGGACTGTGCAGAGGCCTTTAGCTTCCCGTTTTCCTCCCTCAGACTCTCTCCCTTCCTTGCTGCTCATATTTACCCTGAGTGCTGGCCCAGCGCCATGTCCATGCAGGCGCACTGGCACCATCCTCATGTCCTAGCACCTTCCTGTCCTGTTTGCCTTCCTGCTTGAGCAGATCCGACTGCCCAATCCGGCTCGGTCCCCGGGAGAAATACTGGCTGGCCTGTGCCATGTTTCATGCCCAATGTACAAACGCACCAACCATCAGCGCATATTCACCTGAGTGCTGATGGTGCAGCAGTGGAGGGTCGACCACAAGTCACCTGATGCACAGTCCAGGGCGTGGCGCTGTGGCTTCGAGAGCCCAGGCATCTTCCCAGACAGAGATTCCCCCTAACCTAGTCACCCTGGGACTCAGGAGCAATGGAAGCCCCGAAGCCAGCTAGGACAGTGTCAGCGGAACTGTCCAGGCACTGACTTTCAGAGTCCTGTGATGCTCCCAGGAGAAGGGAGGCAAGGGAGATGCTGCAGCTTAGACAAGAGGAAGAAAGCCTTCTTTGTGCGGTGTGTGTGTGTGTGTGTGTGCTGAGCAATGGGGGCCAGGGGAGATCACTATTGCAGTCTAAGGGGCTATCTTAGTCTGTGTCCAGGAGTGACACCTGGTAGTGCTCAGGAGACCATAGGTTGTGCTGCGATGAAACAGGGTCAGCCACAAGCAGGCAAGTACAGAACTTTCTGCACTGTCTCTCTGGATGTGCCTTCTTTAAAGGATACTATCTGATATAGACCAAATTGTTCATGGGAACAGGTCAAGGATGGGCTTCAGCGCTCAGGGGTTATAATGCAAGAAGAAGTATAAGAGAGAAAAGATATGGCAGAGGGTTAGTGGGGCGATAGTAAAGGGGCAGGAGCTGGCCTTGCATATGCCCAACCTGCATCCCCAGGACTATCTGTGAGGACAGATCGATTAGTTATCTCTGAGCACACTTGAAGTGTGGCCAAAAATCAGAGAGATGAGGAGGAGGAAGAGGAGGAGGTGAAGGAAGAGGAAGAGGAGGAGAAGGAGAAAGACGAGGGGGGGGAAGAGAAGGAGGAGGTGGAGGAGACTGCAGCAGCAGCAGCAGTTGTTCAGTGGAGAGCACTTGCCCGGCACATGTGAGAACCTAGGTTTGCTCTCTAGACATAAAAGGAAATAAACAAGTAAATACACAGAGAGGGATGTGTCATAGTAACCTAGCCTGGAGACAGCCGCCTATCACGTATTTCTGGACGTAAAAAGGAGAACCAAAATACTGGATTTGAAGCTAGACAGGACACCCCGACGGAGACCAAAGGATGGGCCCAGGAGAACCGCACGCACCCCTCCAGCAGCCTCATCTCATGGCCGCACCCCAGCCCCATCTGCTGAAGTTTGCCATGCAGATCTGTTCCCCGCATCCCACCCCACCAAGACCACTCACTACAAGACGAGAGAACCAATATTGCAGGCACACAGGCTAATTTTCTGCTGCTTTATTAAGTAGCAAAAGGTAAGTTCCTTCCCACTGGCCAGTGTTCCCGGACTCAAACCAGACCCACGTGGGGCCCTCAGGGAGATGGGTCAGAGCAGGCAGGAGTCTCTGGCATGGGAGGAGCTGAAGCACCAGGTACAGCTCAGCTCTCTACAGGGGCAGATTTCTGGGCCAAAGGGATGGATTCTATGCCAAAGAGGGGGGGCTAAGACTAAGAGGCGTGGTTATGCTCGAAGGGGCGGGGCTCAGCGGAGAGGGCGTGGTTTTCTCTTAATGGGCGGGGCTCTGCTCCGAAGGGGCGGCGCTCCCTGCCTGCTCCAGGAGGGTCAGGTTCTTGCCCTGATTCTGCAGGGCAAGGCGCTTGTCGTGACCCTCCTTCTGGATCCTGTTGAAGAAGGACCTGACCTTGTCCTTCAGGTCCATCTCCAGGAAGATCAAATAGTCTTCCCCATCCCCCGGGTTGGGGCCCAGCTTCTGGCCGAACTGCTTCACCAGCTGCACCATCCCGTTTCCGAAAGGCTCTACATACAGGGCCAGAGTATGCTGGAATTCCTCCAGCTGCTGGTCCAGTCTTTTGTACAGCTCGGCCAGTGCCTTCAGTGGGTCCTCCGTGTCACCGCTCAGCGTTTCCCGCGTGTCCTCTATTAGGGCCTTCAGCCGTGGCCAGAGCTCCTGGTACCCGGCAGAGACGTTGGCCTGCAGCTGGTCGGCGCGCTTCCTCATCTGGAAGGAGAGGCCCTCCAGCTGGTGGTCGAGCTTGTCCTGCACGTCCTGCGCGAAAGGGGCCAGGCTGCGGCCCAGCTCCACCACGCTGCGGTTGAGTCTCTCCTTGAGTTCCATTATGTACGTGACTTGCATCACTTCTAATATACCCGTGTCCTTCCGGTTCTGTTCCTGGATCTTGTCCATGGCAGAAGTCAGCAAGGACTGCAAGTTGTCCGCATGATCACGGATCGCTTTCTCTATGGGTTTTATGATGGCCGCACTATGGCGACTCATCATCCACCTCTGACTTTTGACATCATTCTTTGTCATATGTCAGGGGTATGTCAAACACATACCCCTGCAGCGCGCGCACACTGTCCGTGATGCTCTGGCTCACATTTTGGGCGTGGGGCAGCATCCTGGCCCGCAGCTCTTCCAGCTCCTTCCGGTTCTCCTCCTTCAGCTTGTCCGAGTCCTTGGTGAGGCGATGGTATAGGCCGACGGCAAAGGTCACCAGCTCCGTCACGTCGCAGGTGTAGGGCTTGTTTATGATTCTTGCAAACCATTGGTTGCGGAAGAAGGTTCTGTGGGGGAGGGGTAAGGGAGACCCAAGCAGCACTGAGATTAGAGAGGAGGTAGGATGGCGGTGGGGTGCAGCCTCACAGGCTGTGCTCAGGGCTTACTCCTGCTTTTGTGCTCAGACTTGTCTCCTGGCAGAGTTCAAGGTATCATAGGTGATGCTGGGGATTCAACTTTGGATTTCTGAGCAAACCCCTGAACTATCTCTCTGGCCATAGCATCTCTTATGGAGGTGTCTGGAGGGTTCTGAAGCAGAGCTGGGGTCTGGGACACACTCCTGGTTCCCCCACTGTGGGCTGCTTGCATCCAGCTACGGGACAGGGTCAGATGGGGGCCTTGAGCAGGCAACGCATGCGCCCCAAACCCTGAGTTATGGCGCTCACCACGCACTTGGCTCTCACATCCACAGCCCTGTAGTCACCCACATTTCAGCTGAGGACTCCCAGTGGGAGACCCAGAGCTGAGAGAATGGATGGAGTAGACCAAGTGAGCACCCTGGGATACTCTCTCTGCCACCCCTTCCCCCCATTCGAGTCACAGTGACTCTCTGTGAGGTGACCTTGAGAAAGGTACTTTTGTCTCCGATCTGGGAAGGGAATGGAGTATCCTGAGATAAGTCTCCATGTAGGTGCGCTGTAACAGGAGCACTAGTCACCAACACAGAGTCCCATCTCTTTCTCCCTGACCTGCCTTTTGTGGGATCCTCTCCCGTGTCCCCTGGTCTGAGCCTTCCCCAGTGCCGAATTGTCTTTCCCCATATATCACAGCAGCCTGACCCTTCAGGAAGTGGCAGAGTCCAGCCCTTCACAATCCATAGCTCAAGACTGCCATGTGGCAATTCGTCCTACCCAGGAACGCTAACGCTGGTCAAACTATGTCCCTCTTTGCCAAGGTGGGTCCAGTTTGGCGTGAGGGCTTGATCCGAGTCCCGGAGTGAGTGGGTGACAGGACAGTGGGGATATTAGCTGAGCTGTGCTGATGCCTTTCCTGCCCCTGCCCTCCCCCCTCCAGGAAGTGCTTCCCCTTACTTTATCTGCTGAGTCAGTTCGGATTTCTGCTCCTCTTCCTCCTTGACAGTGGTGTTCTGCTTGCTTAAGTAGTCCCACACCACGGTGGCCACCTCGTCACCGTTGATCTCAGGCCATTCATCTGCCAGAGCACAGTGGGTGAGAACGTTGGAGAAGGAACAGGGCTCCCCCCAAGCCCACCTGCCCTCCCTGGGAGCAGAGACAGCGCTGCCCACCCTGATTGCGGGCCTGGAACTCTCCTTGAGCAGAGAGAGCCAGCAGCCGGGCCCGACGGCCAGGAAACGCTCCCCAAGCCCTGCCACAGTGACTCCACCTGGAAGTACTTCCGAATCACCCGAGACAGCCACCAGGACCAGGCTCAGGATCACAGCCTTCAGGATCATCCTGGGGACAAGTCTCCCGCTGCTCTAGAAGCTTCCTGGGTCCGAGAAAGCGAGACAAGCACACCTGGGCAGCTGCTGGAACTGACAGAGCTGGGGCCAGTGGACATTTAAACCTCTGCCCAGGCTCTCTCCGCCTCCATCTGGGTCACTCCCTTAGGTGACCCTGAGCCTATTCCCTACCAGAACGGCACATTCAGTCCCTCCCTGAACCTGTCAAGCACTGGCTGCCTCTCTATGTATCTCCCCTCTGAGCCTCCCACTGTCCCCTCTTTCCAGGTGCCAATGTCACTGGGCCAGTCCTGGCACAAGGCAAAGGACAGCCCTTTACCCTTCCAGTAACTCCACATGGCTGTTTGTTCTGTTCAGGGTAGTTAAAGCCGACATTGGTGACACATTCCCCGGAAGTCTCTTGGAGTTTTGCACCAGAAACAATGTGGCAGCTGAAAGCCACTGAACAATGGGGGTGAGGGGCGGGCAGTGAGGTAGCTTCAGAGCTGTGTCTCCTGGGGGCGGATCTCACAGTCATGGGAGAAGCCAGGCCAGGGACGCCCTTGACCTCCCAACTGTCCCCACTGGGTTTCTGCCAGGTGGGTGGCAGAGACAAAGTCCATTTCTCTTTGACAAGGGCAAGATGTCTGGGGCCAGAAGAGTGTCCAGCTTATTGGAGGCTGGACATGCACAGGCTGATCCAGGGTAATCCATAGCACCCCAGCACGGAGCTGTTTTTGCTGGCCCACAGGGCTGAGTATCCCTGGGAGTGGACCCTGACAGCCCAACACAGCACCCATGGGTCCAGCCCCTAGTAAAAAATCTTTTCCCAGGGGCGGGTGAAAGTGCAGTGGAGAAGGCATTTGTCTTGCATGCAGCCAACCTGGGTTTGATCCTGGCATCCCATAGGGTCCCCTGAGCACCACCAGGAATCATTCCTGAGTACAGAGCCAGGAGTAACCCCTGAGCATTGCTGGGTGTGACCCAAAAAGCCAAAAAAAAAATTTTTTTTTAAATGTATTCCCAAGGACCCTGACTCCTATGGTCCAGTATCTGTCTTGCTTGCTTGAGTGGGTGAGGCCTCATGGGTTCAAACCTGGTTACTGTGTGCATGGAAGTACCCTCCCCAATGTACCATCAGTCTCTCCACTGTGTGGAAAATTTCCGGGGTTTCTATTTTATAGGACTGTATTTGTGGGGGGTTCCCCGGGTATGTTTGGAGTCTGGGGTTCACAGTCTGAGACTTTTTGGTGGCATGATGGTTCATACTCAGGCCTGGCCATACTGCAACCAGGAAAGCCACACCTGGGTGACCTCAGGTGAGAATTTGGAGAATAGAGTTCAATTTCTATTTTTATTCATTCACTTGTGCTTGGAAAACAAGCAGCGGGGCTAGTGGCTACTTCTGGTTCTGCTCTCAAGAGTTCTGGTGGGCTCAGGGATGTGTAAACTCACACAAGAGGGGGCACGGCACCCACACGGCGGCGGCTCTATCTCTCCCGCCACCCGCGTTCGGTAGTCTCACCCTTCTACCACCCCGGAGAGGTCGATGGCGATGGTCAGGCGGAGGAAGGAACGAGGGCCAGGCTGGTTGGTATTAGTCGTAGTTTATTCTGATTCTCTCCTCTCCTCCTCTGTCTCTCTATCTCTGCCCCCATTCTTCCTCCCCCAGTTACTTCATTCTCCTTCTCCATCCCCCTTCATCCTCCTCTTCCTTCTCATCCTCTCTGAACTCTCTTCTTCCTTCTGCCCCTATCTCTGCCCCCCTTTGCCCAATCTACTGTCCCTATATCTCCCTCCAAGAGGAATTGGGGAAAACAATTACATAGGTGCGGTCACAATCAATAGGGGTGGAGATCAACAGGGGTAGAAATCTTAGCCTCAGGGAAGACCGCTCCTAGGACAGATCCTCCCTCAGCAGGAGGACCCACCCTAGAGCAGAATCCCATGGGCGTGCCTCTCCTCTCCTTGTCGGACAAGCATACAAGAATATAATATAAATCATTTTGTATAGATACAGTAAGAAATATCTTAAACTTATAGAATTGCTCTCCTAGGGCCATCTCAATCTCAGACTACGGTGCTCAGGCCAGGTAGTCTTTCCCACCCCTAGCAGGATCCTAGTCTTGTTGTTACCTTGGATCATGACAGCATTTGTCCATGATCAAACTCTTAATTTATAGTTAAGAATCGTGGCACTTTGGCCTGGCCCATTTCGCTGCCAGGGTAGCTCACTGCTTGCCCTGGGTCCATTCAGTCCCTCGTCGGGACCCTACTTTTGGGGTGTTAGGAACTAAGGGCAACTGAGGCTTAAGTCGAGAAAGATGCCCGGGAGTGAATAATATTCAAGGCCAATCAAATCCTAAGTTACAAAGCATAATGTTAACGGTCTTTCTGTATCTATACAAAAGGATATTACTTTAAGGTAAACTATTCATAAGGCATAAGGAGAGGAGAAAGGCAATATTTCACTCATAAATATAAAACCATAGATTTCTGGGAAACTGATCTTACAAATTAACAAAGTCTGATTAAGGGTAAAACTGATTAACTGGGTGGGGAGGAGAGCATAGGGAAGACTGTTTACTTGTTTACATGTAAAAACAATGGAAGTGGAAGTGCCTCTGGAGCACTGTGGTGGGTGTAACCAGATTGATGGATGTAACCAGATTGATGGGTGTAACCAGATAAAACCTAAGCTTCTTGAAGGACAGAGCAATGTTACCCAACACAGGGGATCATATATGATCCTGGAAATCAAACCCGAGGATATGGCAAGACCCTGTAAAGCTGTACTACCTCTGCAGCCACCAGAATTCAAATTATAATCCCCCAGAATTCAAATTCTAATCCTTTGAACTCTCTCCCCAGCCCAAGGTAGCAGCTGACTTTATTACCATCCCTTGTACAAGACTCTGCACAGTTGTTTCTCCTGACCTTCTCTGCGGGAGGTGGAACTGTTCAGAGGCCTTTAGCTTCTGTTCCCTCTCTTGGACTCTCTCCCTTCCCACTGGTCATATTTACCCTGAGTGCTGTCCCAGTGCCATGTCCATGCAGGCGCACTGGCACCATCCTCATGTTCTAGCACCTTCCTGTCTTTTTTGCCTTCCTTCCTGAGCAGGTCTGACTGCCCAATCCGGCTCTGTCCCCGGGAGAAATTCTGGCTGGCCTGTGCAATGCTCCCTGCCCAGTGTATAACATGCCAACCATCAGCGCACAGACAGCTGAGTGCTGAAGGTGTGGCAGTGTAGGGGTGCCCATAGGGTCAAGGCTTGGAGCTGTGGATTCGAGAGCCCAGGCATCTTCCTAGACAGAGATTCCCCTTAACCTAGTCACCCTCAGATTCAGAAGGAACGGAAGCCCTGTGGCCAGCTAGGAGGAACTGTCCAGGCACTGACTTTCAGGGTCATGGGATGCTTCCTGGAGAAGGGAGGCAGGGGAGATGCTGCAGCTTAGACAAGAGGAAGAATGCCTTCTTTGTGCTCTGTGTGTGTGTGTGTGTGTGTGTGTGTGTGTGTGTGTGTTTGTGCTGAGCATTTGGGGCAGGGGAGATCACACTTGATGTCTAAGGGGCTGTTCCTGGTGTGTGTTCAGGAGTAACACCTGGTCATCCTCAGGGGACCATAGGTTGTGCCGGGATGGAATGGGATCAGCCACAAGCAGGCAAGTACAGGACTTTCTGCACACTCTCTCTGGATGTGCGTTCTTTGAAGGATGGTGTCTGATAAAGACCAAAGAGTTCACCGGGACAGGTCAAGGAGGGGCTTCCGCGCTCATGGGCTATAATACAAGAGGATGTATAAGAGAGAAAAGACATGGTAGGGGGTTGGTAGGGAGATAGTACAGGGGCAGGCACTGGCCTTGCATATGTCCAATTTGCATCCCCAGGACTGTCCGTGAGGGCAGATCCATTAGTTATCCCTGAGCATACTTGGTAAAAAAGGTAAAGGCCCTCCCGTTGATCATCGATTTGCTCGAGCGGGCCCAGTAACGTCTCCATTGGAGACTTCGTTGTTACTGTGTTTGGCATATCGAATACGTCACGGGGAGCTTGCCAGGCTCTGCTGCGCGGGCGAGAGACTCTCGGTAGCTTGCTGGGCTCTCCAAGAGGGGCAGAGGAATCGAACTCGGGTCGACCATGTTGGCTGCGTGCAAGGCAAACGCCCTACCGCTGTGTGGCCAAAAATCAGAGAGAGAGGGAGAAGATGAGGAAGAAGAGGAAGAAAAGGCAGGAGGAAGAGGAAGTATAGGAAGCAATGGAGGAGGAGGAGGAGGAGGAGAAAAAAGGAGGAGGAGGAGGTGGAGGAAGAGGAGGAGAAAGAGGAGGAGGAGGAGGAGAAGGAGAAAAAAGGAGGAGGAGGAGGAGGAGAAGGAGGAGGAGGAGGAGGAGGAGGAGGAGGAGGAGGAGGAGGAGGTGGAGGAAGAGACAGTAGCAGCAGCAACAGTTGTTAGTGGAGAGCACTTGCCTGGCATGTGTGGGACCCTAGGTTTGCTCTCTAGACATTAAAGAAAATAAACAAATAAATACAGCAAGAAGGGCTGTGTCAAAGTAACCTAGCCTGGAGATAGCAGCATATAACGCATTTCTGGACATAAAAAGGAGACTAAAATACTAGATTTGAAGCTAGACAGGAGACCCTGAGGGAGACCAAAGGATGGGCCCAGGAGAACCGCACGAACCCCTCCAGCAGCCTCATCTCATGGCCGCACCCCAGCCCCATCTGCTAAAGTTTGAAATGCAGATCTGTTCCCCGCATCCCACCCCACCAAGACCACTCACTACAAGATTAGAGAACCAATACTGCATGCACACAGGCTCATTTTCTGTTGCTTTATTTACAGTAGCAAAAGGTAAATTCCTTCCTACAGGCCCTGTGTCCCCAAGCTCAAACCAGACCCACGTGGGGACCCCAGGGAGATGGGTCAGAGCAGGCAGGAGTCTCTGGCATGGGAGGAGCTGGAGCATCATGGACAGCTCAGCTTTCTACAGGGGCAGATTTCTGGGCCAAAGGCTTCTATGCCAAAGGGCCGGGGCTAGACTAAAGGGGCGTGTCTTTGCTCTGAGCGGCGTGTTCCGTTCTAAAGGGGCGTGGCTCTGCTGCGAGGGGCGGGGCCGTTTTCTTAGTGGGCGGGTCTCCGCTCCAAAGGGGCGGGGTCTGTGCCTGCTCCAGGAGGGTTAGTTCTTGTCCTGATTCTGCAGGGCAGGGTGCTTCTCCTGACTCTCCTTCTTGATGGTGTTGAAGAAGGACTTGACCTTGTCCTTCAGGTCCTTCTCCAGGAAGATCAAATAGTCTTCCCCCTCCCCCACATTGGGCGACACCAGTTTCCGTCCAAACTCCTCCACCAGCTGCACCATGGCTTTTTCGAAAGGCTCTTTATAAAGGGCCAGAGTGCGCTGGAATTCCTCCAACTGCTGGTCGTATTGTTTACCCATCTCGGCCACAGCCTTCTGCGGCTCCTCCGAGTTGCCCCTCAGCGTTTTCTGCGTGTCATCTATTATGTTCTTCAGCCGCTGACACAGTTCCTGGTACCCGGCAGAGATGTTGGCCTGCAGCTGGTCGGCGTGCTTCTTCATCTGGAAGAAGAGGCCCTCCAGCTGGTGGTCCAGCTTGTCCTGCATGTCCTGTGCGAAAGGGGCCAGGCTGCGGCGCAGCTCCTCTATCTTCTGGTCAATTCCCGCCATGAGAAATTTTTCATATTCTAATTGATATGCCTCAAATATAATGATCCTGCCCATGGTTTCATTCTTGACCCTGTCGGTGATGGACGTCAGAAAGGCCGGCAGGTCCTCCCCATTGTCACGCAGCGCTGTCTCGATGAGGTTTAAGATGAGCGGTACCCCCTTCTCCAACCCCTGCCTCTTACCAGTGATGATCTGATTTATCATGTTGAGGTATTGATCAACGACCTCCCTCATCAGGACCAAGTAGTCCGCGATGCTCTGGCTCACATTTTGGGCGTGGGGCAGCATCCTGGCCCGCAGCTCTTCCTGCTCCTTCCGGATCTCCTCCTTCAGCTTGTCCGATTCCTGGGTGAGGCGTAGGTGCAGGCTGACGGCAAAGGGCACCAGATCCTTCACGTCGTAGATGTAGGGCTTGTCCTGGAGTCTTGCCCAGAAGTAATTCTGGAAGAGTGTTCTGTGAGGGAAGGGTAATGGAACCCCACACTTGAGAATTAGAGGGTCTTCTTTTAGGAGGCAGCATGAGGATGGGATTGCAGCCACAATTGCTGTGCTCAGGGCTTACTCCTGATTTTGTGCTCAGAGTTCTCTCCTGGCAGTGCTCAAGGTATTATAAGTGATGCTATTGATTAAACTTCCGAGTCAGTGGCCGGAGCGATAGTACAGTGGGAAGGGTGTTTGCCTTGCATGCATCCAAACCTGGGTCCGATCTCAAGCATCCCATATGGTCCCCCCCGAGCACCGCCAGGAGTAATTCCTGAGTTCAGTGCCAGGAGTAACACCTGAGCATTGCTGGTGTGACCCAAAAAGCAATATATAAATAAATAAATGACCAAATAAATAAATAAATAAATAAACTTTCGAGTCGGTGTGCAAACGCCTGAACTATCTCTCTCAACCTAGGATCTCTTGGAGGTGGATGGGGCTCTGAAGCAGTGCTCGGGAGTCTGAGCACATTCCTGGTTTCCCCCTGGTGGGGCTCCTTGGATGCAGCAAAGTGTCAGGGTTCAAAAGGGGGGCCTTGAGCATGTAAAGCAGGTGCTCCCCAACCTTGAGCAGTGCCCCTCTCCAGGAACGTGTCTCTCACACCCTCTGCTAAGGTTGGGGTGTGTCCTGACGTCACTTGCATTTCCCTGGGTGCTCCTCAATGGTGGAGCAGGATTTGCAAGAATAGATGTAGAACACCAAGTGAGCACCTTGGGATACTCTCTCTGATATCCTCCTACACAGCACCCCCTCACTGATTTGAGTCACACAAACTAACTGTGAGGGGACCTCGGGCAGTTTGGTGTCCTCTCCTGATCTGAAAAGGGAGAAGCATGAACTGAGACATACACTATTCACTCTCAGAGAGTCCCATCTGTTCCTCCTGACCTGCCCGACGCTGGCCTCCTCCCCTTGTCCCCTCGTCCGACCTTCCCCAGTGCCTCTCTTCTCTTCTCTATTGCAATGTCCAGATCTTCTGGAATGTGGCAGAGTCCCGCCTCCACCCTTCCCAAGTCTTGGGGCTGCCATGTGGCTGTTTGTCCCATCCTAGACAGCTAGAGCAGGTCGGCCTGTGTCCCTCTTTGCAGAGGTGGGTCCCAGCTTGGGGTGGAGGATGAGTTGGTGGCAGGGAGGTGGGGATCTGAGCTAAGTGGTGCTAATTCCTGCCCCTGGCCCCAGGAAAGTGAATCCTCTTACTCAAGCTGCTGGGTCAGTTCGGATTTCTGCTCCTCTTCCTCCTTGGCAGTGGTGTTCTGCTGGCTGAAGTAGTCACACACCACGGCGGCCACCTGTTTGTCGCTGACCTCAGGCCATTTACCTGCCAGAGCACAGTGGGTGAGACCCTTGGGGGAAGGGACAGGGTTCCCCCAAACCCAGCTGTCCTCCCTGGGAGCAGTGACAGCGCCTCCCATTCTGCCTGCGGGCCTGGCGCTCTCCCTGGGCAGAGAGAGCCAGCAGTCGGCCCGAGGGGCAGGAAACGCTCCCCAAGCCCTGCCACAGTGACTCCACCTGGAGGTACTTCCGAATCACCAGAGACAGCCACCAGGGCCAGGCTCAGGATCACAGCCTTCAGGATCATCCTGGGCTGCTGGGGACAAGTCTCCCACTGCTCTGGAAGCTTCCTGGGTCCTGAGAAAGCCAGACAAGTGCACCAGAGTATCTCCTGGAACTGCTGGGGATATTTAACCCCAATGGACATTTAACCCCCGCCCATGCTCTCCCCGCCCCTTCCCAGGCCACTCCCTTAGGTGACCCTGAGCCTTTTTCTAACAGAACCACACGTTTAATTCCTCCCCAGTCCTGCCTGCCTGGCACAAGCTTCCTCACCGTTGTCTCTCTGCCTTGAGCCCCCTAAGGCCCCTCCCTCATCCCGATATCACAGGGGCCAGTCTTGGAATGTGGCAGAGCACAGCCCTTTGCCCCTTCAGAGTCTCACATGGCTGTTTGTCCTGTCTGGGAAGGTAAAGCAGACGTTGGTGACATTCCTGGAAGCTCTTGGACTTTTGCACTAGAATCGATGTGACAACGGAGAGCTTCAGAGGTCAGGGGGCTGTGCTGGGGAGGGGTAGCTTCAGAGTTTGTGCCTCCTGGGTTCGGGACTCACAGCGATGGGAGAAGCCAGGCCAAAGACACCCCTGATCTATTCCCCCACTGGGTTCCTGCCATGCAGGTATGAATGGGGGACAAAGCCCACTTCTCCGCGACAAAAGGAAAACGCTAGGGCTGAGAGATAGTCCGGCTTGTTGGATATTGGTCTTACATGAGGCTAACCCAGGTTCAATACCCGGGACCCCATACGGTCCCCTGAGTCACCAATGCAGTGATCCCTGAGTGCAGCCCAGGCAAGGGCTCCAGTCCCCTCCCTCACTTGGGCGGAGCACCCGAGGCTGGTGTGGGGCACTGTGGTAGTGCCACACTGGCCTAAAGACATGGCACAGTGCTGGAGGCTCGGCCTACCTCTAGAGCCCCCTGGACCACAGCCCCGGTCGGCCTCTCCCTGTTCCCCCAGGAACTGAGTATCAGGCCTCCAGGCAAAGGAGAGTTTTTCAAGGAGGCCCCAGTGACCTCTCCAGTGAGGCACCCCGCTGGAGCACGCAGGGCAGCAGTCAGCGGGTGCCACCCCAGAACACAGCTTCCCTCTGACATGTCCGCAGATGTGCAAAGATGGTGGGATTCCGAGGGAGGTTCTAAGTCTCAGGGACGGGCACCAACACTCACACTGCAAATGCAACTGGGCCAGTTAGATGCACACAGGCTGATGGGCTGTCATGTACGCAGCTGACCACAGTCAAACCCCAACACCACAAATGGTCCCTAAGACTGCCAGGAGATACCCCTGGGCACAGGAGTACTCCCTGTGTACTGCAGGGTATGTGCTAAAAGGTACCCACAAATACTGATTTTGTATTTGAGTTACACCCGTGGGTGCTCAGGGATTACTTCTGTCTCTGTACCCAGGTATCACTCCTGATAGACTTGGGGGAACGCATGGGGTTCTGGGGATCGAACATGGGTTGACTGAACGCAGACAAGTGTCCTAACCGCTCTTCACTCTCTCCTGTCCCTTGCCCAAAGTTTTCTGTTTTTTCCTTTCTTTTGGGGTCACACCTGGCATTGCACAGGGGTTACTCCTGGCTCATGTACTCAGGAATCATTCCTAGTGGTGCTTGGGGGACCATATGGGATACTGGGAATCGAACCTGGGTCAGCTGCATGCAAGGCAAATGCCCTACCCGCTGTGCTATCGTTCTAGCCCCAAGTTTTCTGTTTTTCAATTAAAAATAGTCTGGAGTGATAGTATAGCAGGTAAGGTACTTGCCTTGCACAGGGCCAACCTGGGTCCAGTCTTTGAACACCATATAATTCCCAATCCGATCAGGAGTGATTCCTGAGCACAGAAGTAGGAGTAAGCTCTGAAACTGACCTGGTATGGACCAATACAAAACAAAGTTAAAATGGCCCTTGGCAGGCCAGGAATGTGTCTCAGTGTTAGGGTACTTGCCCCATATGTCAAGCCCTGGCTTGATCCCAGTCAAAACAAAAATACCATTGAGTATCACTGGAGGGTTGAAAGAGCATCTCCCAATGCTGAGGAGGACTCAGGCTGGATTAATGGAAAAGACAGTCAGAAACCAAGGAGGCAGCTCCTGCCTGGACACGCAAGCCCCTAAACTTGGTCCCTTAAACACCAGCAGATGCGCCCTCATTGCCACCAAACCTCACTGGGTGGCATTGGTGGTTCTAGTACTGAGTTGTCATGGCTGGTCCACAGGGCTGAGTATCCCTGGGAGTGATCCCTGATGGGCTGGCACGATACAACAGCGGGGTAGGGCGTTTTGCCTTGCACGCAGCCAACATGGCCAACCCAAGTTCGATTCCTCTGCCCCTGTCGGAGAGGCCGGCAAGCTGCCGAGAGTATCTCGCCCGCATGGCAAAGCCTGGCAAGCTACCCGTGATGTATTCGTATGCCAAACACAGTAACAACAAAGTCTCACAATGGAGGTGTTACTGGGCCTGCTCAAGAAAATCTATGAACAATGGGAGGACAGTGACAGGACAGTGACAGTGACCTCTGATACCCCAACCCCAGCACTTGTGACTCAGGCCCTATTTCAAAAGTCCGTTCTCAAGGAGTCTGGGGCTGGTTCTAGGACAGCATTTGCCTTGCAAGCTTGAGGTGGGGGAAGCCCAGTTAGATCCCCAGCATCAGCAACAAATAGCTGGGAGCGATCACTGGGGACTGCTACTGGGGGAGCCCAGCCCTGCAGTGAGGTGTTAGATCGGGGCTTCCTGCAGCCGGGTGTGTGTGAGTCATATCAGGGGAAGAGTGTCCCGGTGATCATGGCTGCCAAACCGTGGCCAGGACACAGATCCAGCTAGCAAACCCAACACTGGGATTCATCCCAGGCAACTACAACGGCAACAAGAGAAGGGATGGAAGAGCAATGAACACCTAAAACAGGACTTCAGGATAATATAGCACATAGGTCACTTGCCTTGCACACAGCCGAGCTGGGATCGATTCCCTGGCACCCAGTATGGTCCTCCAGGATTGATTCCTGAGCACAGACCCTGGAGAAACCCCTGAGTACTGCCAGGCGTTTCCCCAAACCAAAAAATAAATAAATAAAAGTAAAATAAAACCAGATTACAAAAACAAAGAAAAAGATGTAGTGAGGGAGGACAACCACTGTGAGGTCCTAATACTTTGCTGGCCATCACTGATCTGCTGTACTTTGAGCCATGCACGTCACCCAGACTCATTCCCCTCATCCAAGTGCTTCTAGGTCTCCGCTGTGCCCCCCCACAACTCTACCTTTTCTTTTTGTCTTCTTGGGCCACACCTGATGATGACTCTGGACTCAGGGATTGCTTGGGGGACCCTATGGGATGATGGGATGAGACCCAGTCAGCTGCGTGCAAGGCAAACATCCTCTCCACTGTACTAAGGCTCCAGCCCCAGTGTCCCCCCCCCCCCCTTAGATGCTGTTCCCGCACAGTGTGACACTCACAGTCCCTCCCTCCATGCCCCCAGGAGGAGAAGATTCCCCCACACCTGCCCATGGCCTCTCCCTGGGGGAACAGGGTGTCTTGGGGTGAGTATCTCAGGAACAAGGTGTCCTGGGATAAACAGAACACAGTGTCCACGGTCAAAGCTGCTTCAGGCCAAGCTGAACAAGGGGGCACAAGGATAGCAAGTCCCAGAACATCTGTCTCTGTGCTTGCTCTTCCTGGTCTTGCCACTCTATTTACCTGCGATCTCAGGGCCAAGGGTGCTAGCGTAACTTCCGAGTTCTTGTGAGGACAAAGCTGATGCCATGACAAGCTGCAACTAATGTTAAGTCTCAACTAGGCCTCAGTTTCTGTTTCCCCAAAAGAGGATTTACGGTTTCTGGTAAATTCCCAGTTGAGTAATCTGTCTAGATAAGGATTTGGGCAGTTGGGTCTGGTCAGTCATGAGGGGTCACTAAACCCTCCTTAGAAACTGTTACTAACCATTGCCTAATTGCTGACCACCATTGAGCTTTGGGGAGGGCGTAGGTGTGGGGTTAGCCTGACCCCCCCTCCCCTCCCCTGGTGCCCTTCTCTGCCCCTGAGCTGGGGCAGCTGGGGCCTTTGAACCTGAAGCTTTGCTGGACTCCAGAAATTGCCATGAGGGGCTGAGTTGTCGCTGTCCCGAAGCTAACACCTTCGCTGACTTTGGTCGAGGCTTCCAGGTATGTGTGGGCAGTTCTAAGGTAGAAACTCTTGGGGCCTGCCAGCCAGTAAGGACTGGGTGCTGGAGAAGGGCTGGACAACCTCCATGCATTCCCAGCATGGACAGAGATATCGGACCCCAGGGATGCCACTTGTCCCTCCTGGAATCTCGTCTTCCAGGCTGTGCTCACCCCCACCCTGTCTGCTAAACTTTGTCCAGCAGTTGTCTGTGCTCCACTTCTCACCCCAGCATGCCCAGGAGAGCGAGGACCCACAGTACAACCAGACAGGAACCAGAGCAACAGTGCTCTGGTAGGGTGCTTGCCTTGCACACGGCTGATCCAGGTTTAATCCTTGGCACCCCGTTTGCTTCCCCCAACCCTACCAGCGGTGATGACTGTGCCCTGTCGCGTGTGGCCTCAAAGCGACTCCCCGCAAAAAAATTGAAAAACCTCAAAACATTACAATCAACAGTTTAGTTTTTCTACTGCTTTTATTCAGTAGCGCACAGAGGCGTTCCCTTCCACAGGACACATGTTCTCGAGCTCAAACCAGACCCGCTTGGGGGTGGACAGGCAGACGGGAGGCAGAGCTGGGCATCTGTTGCTGGCACGGGGGGAGTAGGAACACCAGGGACAGCTCAGGTCTCCAAGGGGGCGTGGTTCTGTGTCGAGGGGGCGTGGCTCAGTGTCAAAGAGGTGTGGTTCAGTGTCGAGGAGGCGTGGTTCTGTGTCGAAGAGGTCTAGTTCTGTGTCGAGGAGGTGTAGTTCTGTGTCGAGGAGGTGTGTCTCAGTGTCGAGGAGGTGTGGCTCGGTGTCGAGGAGGTGTGGCTCTATGTCGAGGGGGCGTGGTTCAGTGTCAAAGAGGCGTGGCTCAGTGTCGAGGAGGTGTGGCTCTACGTCGAGGGGGCGTGGTCCTGTGTCGAGGGGGCGTGTCTCTGTGTCGAGGGGGCGT